TTCAACGAAGCTAAGCTACACTGTCTGTTCACTAGCCAACCAATAATCACTTCACGAAATAAAGACAAACTGTCCTGTTTCGTCTCTTCCATGTGTATTTACCAGTTTAATTACTCGTGTGGAGCTAGTTACATAGGGTGAACAACCAGGTAGGTCCATTGTCGAATTTATGAACGTCTCCCATTTGCGTTTGGAAAAGAGCCCAATAAAGCTACTAAATTATCTTATCCATACTGGACATCAAGTCGACTCTAACAAAACTTTTAAAGTTATTTATCAACCTTATTTCACCCATCCTCTCGCATGCTCTATGAGTACGAGTTTTACATACATACAAACAGTGGAGGCAATCGGAATTCATCTGAGCAAGCCAAATCTGTGTGTGTGTGTGTGTTCAAAAGAAATTTGTGTAGTCACTTCTTCTTTGCCTTGGCCAACTACATAATATGTATCAAGTTTTTGAAAACGATTTCGCCCCTCCTCTTGTAACTGTCTTTTGACTTTAGAATTTAACTGGTGGATGTTGACTAGCAGTGGAGTCCAGGATGCGCATTTCATCCTTTTTGGGACTCATCATCTGGATGTACCTGCCTTGGAGTTTGAAACTATGGGCAATGGGTCCGAGCTTCGGTGGGAACATCATTACTCCCTGGGGAATGCAGGTACATCCAGCTGGTGAATCCGAAATAGGACGAAATCCATATCCTGTACTCCACTGCTAGTCACCACCCACCGATTAAATTCTACTTACATGCCCAGATATCATCGAAGCATCTGCACAAGAAGCCGAAAGACATGTCAACCTGAGACCGAGCACACCGGTCCAATCAATCGACAGGAAAATCTAAAAATTCAATTAAATATCTTTTGACTTTGTTAATTTTCACAATTCTAGATAGTTCTGTTAACTTTTTTGTATTTTACGTCACTCCTATGAGTCATTCTATTCTTCCTAATGCTCATCATTATTTTACAAATTTCTTGATGATTACTTAATAACTTGTTACTAACGCCTAATAATTAACTTCTCTTAAAACTCAGATGATATATAACTAGTCCTATCAAGTCTAGATGTTAGTTTCTTATAACTGAACTCTACTCTTTGGTAATCGGTACACCGGCAAGGAAGAATTTTTTTTATTACAGCTTGATGCCACACCGTATTTTTTGGTACAGGTATGGAATTTCCAGCATGTAATATCAGTAGCCCAATTTTTCCAGGCCGACCATAGATATCAGGTGTGAGTCGGCAGGGGATCGAACTCCGGACCATTTACATATGTCGGCGAGAGTCCTAACCACTGTGCCACCGACGCACGAAGCTTATTAAAAAGGTTTCCAATTAAGGGTATAAGTGTAGGATTTGGGCGCTGTGGCAACATGTAATCAATTGCCTCCCAGAATTTATTCAAAAATATATGAAGAACCATGGGAAAACCAAGATTAGCAATAAAAATGACGAAAACAATATAGAATTCAAAACTTCTGTTGTACCGACGTGTAGAGGAGGAACGTCAGATGCCTTATGTAGGATTCTCAATGAGGCTGGAATTAATCGGCGTGGAATTTAAACCAAACAACTGTCTCAGAGAAAAACTTTGCCTGTCGTATTAAGGACTCAATAGATCTAATTAATTAGAAAAGTAGTATAATTTACCAAATACAATGCAATGATGACTGTAAGCCAGGTGAGTTACATGGGTCAGACTACCAGATCGGGGTCAACTACACCATTGGAATATAAAAATTTAGCTAAATCTAGAATAACTGACCGTGCTAATTTTTAAGTAACCTATAAAAAAACAAAGTTCAGCCATAGCACTTCATTCACTTGCAAGTGATCACGCAATAGAGTGAATGGAACAGGGTGAGAGTGTTAAAGAGCACCATAGGTCAGTTCAATACCGCACATGTGCAGAAATCGGAATGACACAACGCCACCTATACCTGAGATATGGAAAGTGGCAACAAACAACACGAGGGAAGTTGGCGAAAGAGAGAAAATGTAGGTATAAGCCAAATTGTGAAACCATGTGACTAAAATTGATTGATGATTATGAGTGGTAATAATTAATCCTCGAAAGCTTGTAATCCGGTTGTTTCTATCAAGCAGTTTGTAAGACAACAAGAATCAGTTAATTGGACGACAAAGAATGATAATTTTCAATTATTGGTTTTGTAGGGATTTTGTTTGATTGGATGGAGGATTTCATCATGAGCTGACATCAGCAAGAGAACCACTGGAAAACCTGGAAATACTGGACAGTTGTTTCATTGTAGTTTGGGACTCTTCATCAGTACGCACGCACCAGGGTTCGAACCCAGGACCTTCTGGTCACAAAGCGAGCTCGTATACCATTGGATAGGGTCCCAGTGGCTTAGTGGTATACGAGCTCGCCTTGTAACCAGAAGGTCATGGGTTCGAACCCCAGTGGGCGAGTACCGACGAAGAATCTCAAACGAGGACGAAACGGTCGTTCAGTACTCCCAAGCTTTAGAAATTTCTCTGTATAAATAAATAAAGGAGAGTTGTGAAACTAGCAGAACCATTGTGTACAGGCAAAAACACCGTTATTAAAACTTCAAAACTTGGAGGTTTGTATATTTCAAACAAAATGCAGACGAATGAGAGAAAAGCCACACTGAATAAACACTGACTGACGAGTTTCAACGTAGAAATACTTTACACAGATGTGAAGCTGTTCCACTAGTCACACTACCACCATGTCCCACACAAATCAAAAGAAGACAGATTCAAAGTAGAAAGAGATAATAAACAGAAGCGTGACTGAGGCGAAAAGAATAGGAGTAATATGGGAGAACAACAGTAGAGTTTTACTGGAGATGACAGATCCTTGTGCTGTCATTGAGAACGATTTCCAACCAGCCAATGACACCGATTATCTCCAGCCTTGATTGCTTCTCATCACCATCCCAAAGACCCCAACGAGGCAGTCTACACCTCCCTACGTGATTGCCTAACTGGATGACCTAAACTAACTGTAGTGGATTCCGTTGACTGATGATGAAGCCATGTTTTCGTTTCACCACTACCACCACCACCACCTTTGTCTGAAAAATGCCAAACGAGCCTTCCGTTACCTTACCAGCAGGATTGCTAGGATAGCGACTACACTAAGAGCAGTTGCCGGTACAGTTTACGATTCCTTGTTTCACACTATGCTGGGGTTCTGTAGGCATAGCCGTACTGCTTGGAAACAATGGTGTAAGGTGTTCCCTTCAGATGACCAACACGCCAGCCAGTTAATGCTGTCTCTTCTTTAGAATGGAGTACTGCTGGCCGCTTTTCTTTCTTTCTTTCAAAAACCGCCCATGGAATGTCTTGATGTTAAACCACTTTTTATTTGACAAAGTTTTTAAATCACCGAAAATACCCATTAAATCATGAAGAAAATAAAAGACAGATTCAGCGAAGAAAATCTTCTTTATCGACGAAATCATCTTCACAGACTGTACAGCTTTATTTATACTCAGAAAAATATATGGTGGTCTATTATTGAGTAATAGGGGTGGAGGTGACATAATTGATATAATTACTCAAAAGTGGCTTTAGAAGTGAAAGTTAAAAGTTGTAAATTACCTGGTACTCAACGGAACAAACATAGAAATTTGATAAGGTTAAAATTGCTATTGAGTGAGTGAGTGAGTGAGTGAGAATAACGGTGGTAGTTGAGTGTCAATTGAACAAGTGTGAAGAGAGTGTCAAAATGTACAACAGGAAACATATGAGAGTGATAATAGCGAATTAATTATTAAAGCAAAGGCAAACTAAAAGTAAAACTAGAAATTAAAAAAGGGAAAGAAAAAATCAAAACTTTTTCACAGGGAATGACTAGTGAAGAGGTTAAGACCAAGATAGAATCAGAGACTGGACAAACGTTTTCTGTATACAGAGTTCGGGGTTGTATCGACGAATTCCCAGCGCCTCGATCATACACTAAAGCCGAAATCTGACGCCTTTTGTACCATTTGGCTTCACTTTGTAGATGATCTTGAAAGATGACTCTGGTGGAGCTACGTGGCTTGAGTTAACCAAGTCTTCGACAATTGAACCAGTGATTGTCTTGCTGTTATGTACTGCTACTGAGGGAGTTATTAGAGTTTTCCCCGTCGCCAATTATGCTATGTACTGGTCGAGTAGTTAATAGTCCTGATGCGGAAACAGGGAAATCAGAAGACCACGAGGTTAACGATGATACTTGTATTTTCCAGACAAGGAAAATAATTGTCACACAAGAGTGTGAGTGAATAAGTACGAAAAAGGTTTGTGAACAATAATGATAAAATGTACAATGCAAAGTATATATGAAAATGGCTAATACACATGAACCAGTAATAGACAGTCTTAACATGATTGGTTGTAATGTCATGTGATAACAAGGTGATACATGTTTTTTTAGTTAGTGGACAGATAAAAGCATATTGTCAGTTATAATGAAATATCGATCCATATGCACATAGCAAAATATAATAGACTGTCAAAAGCAAAACACACACATCATGTGGAGACATATCACTTGCTTTGTCCTTTTCCTCTTGGAAAGTTTGCGCTTTGCGCGGCCAATGTAACTAGCTCCACACCAACAGGTGAATTTATAAACACACATTGAAGTGGCCTGTCCAGAGAGGCAGTTTATCCTTCACACATCCAATGATCGTTTGTCGGCTGTAGAAATTGATACATAGCTCAGCCATAAACAATGCTTTCCTCAGTGATCTGCGTAAGTGGCAATTCTTTAGGATATCAGCTGTAGTATCAGCCTTAATTTCAACACTCATAAATAGCAGTTTCTTCCCGGGGCCGTCTTGATTATTTCAGGCTTTTCCCTTAACTTCATGTTTTTCTCGTTAAATCTTGGAGGATATCCATTCTCTAAGAGGACTTGTCTGACACTATATTCATTTATCTAATTAAAACACTAATATAATACTAGTAATCACAATTTTTGTTCCCATACTTGTCATCTTCTATTATAAAGGTCGATCTCACCGATTCTACTCTCCAGACATCAATGAAACTGACGAGGATAACGCCTATCTACCGTTTTCTGGCAATCTGCATAATCGTAACATGTCATTAGGTCATATGTCGTTCTTTTCAACAGCTTCCTCGAATTCATCCTTATCCTCAGGCTTATCAGATACAAACTCTACTCAGCATTTAGGCCAGACAGCAGCTATCGGCAGTGCAACAAATCGATTTGGCCTCACTGATGGCTTATTGAGTCATGATCATTCAGAGAATATTGGCCAATCTTTGCATGATATCTGTACAAACTCAAGTGCCACCTCTCGGTCTGTCTACAGTCGATTAAATGCCTATAATGTTGACGGTGATTACAACGGTGTCGATGAAAACTTACAAACACTTTCAAGTCATGACAGCTATCGAGGCGTATACAATGGGAATTTTATACAAAATACTAGAAATACTTCTACTATGAGTAGTTTGGTAAACAGTAATCATATGATGCATGAATATGATATGTCACCTTATTGTTCGCTTGTTTCATTTCAAAATAATATAGATGGACAGAACTTTTGTATTGATTGCCGGTATAATCATATACATCTAGGCGTGCAAACAACGTGTTCTTGTCTGTGTCATAATGAGTCTAAAGAAGTCACAATTACGCCAATTCTTAATTACACTTACACAGCAACATCTACGACTACCACCACTAATAATAATAATAATCGTAGTATGCATTCATTAAATCGACCATTATCCTCTGACAACTATCCAACACCAACAAAACATTCATGGAACAGTAGTACACCATCATCATCGTCATCAACGTTATTATCAACCATAACGCATCCTGGCCTACCATCGCTTACCAACCCATTCACCAGTGAACAATATAACCATAATTCTGTTAACAACACTAACGCATTTGGCTACTTTCCTATCTCTTCTCCATCGATTTTAAACAATAGACTATCGAATAATAATGATTCATCATCACGTGATGATGATTCACCGTCTCCATCAACACTAGATATGACCGGTGATATAAGAACTGTGAATTTTATCTCCCACGATCAACCTCCACTGAGAACATGACATTAAAATAGCGCGTCTGTGTGTGTGTTTCTGTGTGCGTGCGGGTGGAGGTGTATACACTGCTAAAATGATATTTTAATGCATTTTGAATTTTTGGTTCTAATCTGAGATTAGATTTTCTTTATCAAAGAAGAGTGGAACACTGAGATGTTTTGTTGTGTTTTTGGTGAATGCGTAATGCCGACAAATTTATATCAAGGGAGGATGGTAATCTTGTGTGCGTATGTGTGTGTGTATTTTATTTTAGACTGAACTCAAATGGTGATCAGTGGTGAAAGAATACTTATTACAGCTCAAAAAGATCACTTTTCCATAGAGCCGAACAGATTAGTGCCTTCAGTTTGTATTTTTCTCTCTGTTTTGCCTTGTTTTTGTAATTTATTTTGGTACTTTCTATTCTCAATGTTCGTCTGTTTGTTCGTGTGTGTCTGTGTGTCGTAGATTTTTGTTCCTCTATCCCGGTTTCGCTTATGCGGCGTTTATATTTCCTTGCATTATGCATTCCTCCCTTATTTTTGTGGATTTATTCATATCATTTACCAACTAGTCCTTTGCTTTTCCAAATAAAATAAAAGCAAGAGCAACTAAATTCGATCTCGCCTTCAACTGATCACAGATTTAAAAAAGTAGCTTCAATTTTTTAAGTGAATTTTTCAATATATTTTTGGCGTTTTTGTTTCAAACTTGTGAAGATTGTAATCAAAGGAGGCATGTATTAAATTATACGTTTGTTCGGATGCTTTAATGACTTTTGCTTTACGGTATTGCGTTCACTGGCTTAATTCTAGCTTAAAGATAGACAGACAGGAAGGGAGGGAGGAGTGAAGTGGTGACTGGCTGAGCGTGTTGACCACTTCACTTCACTTGTTTAGGAAGTTCCATCAGCCGACACCAACGCCAACGAGTTGGTCTGGTGGCTGACGAAATCTCAGAACACGATGACAGGAGGCTCGTTTGGCATTTTTCAGCCAACCCAAATTACTCCATCTCTAGCGTGCTTACTAGACTTGATATCCGACTGGCTGGCTGGCTTTGAGACATGGCCATTCACACACTGGAAGACATGAAAAGTCAGGCAAGCTAACTAGCTAGCCAGGTGTATTTGGTTATAGATGTCTGAGATCTGTCCACCTTCCGTGTTATTTGGTGTTTGTGGTAGGTGTAACAGGATGAGAGAGCAATAGTGAGGTGATGCATGGTTCTCCTCCGTGCGGTACCCGTCCTCCTTTATGGGTAGCTGTGAGACCTGGCCATTGAGAGTGGAGGACATGAAAAGATTAGCTGTCTTCGATCATAGGTGCCCGCGTTCTATCTCCCGTGTGAAATGGTATTATAAGGTGAGCAATATTGAGGTTAGGCTTCAGTCGAGTGCTAGGTAAGCAGGAGGGCTGTGAAAATACGTCGAATGAGATGTATGGTTAGGACATGTGTTACGTATGCCTAGTCATCGCCTTCCTCGACAACGGGCGATGTTAGCTGACATCGGGTCAGGCTGGAAAAGAGCTAGCGGCGGTCAAACCAAAACATGGCTTCATCACCAGTCAATGAAGTCTACAACAGTTAGTTTAACCCAGCTAGCCACGTAGGAAGGTGTATACTTCCTGACTGGATGGGGTCTTCGGGATGGTAAAAACCAGTGGTTGGAAACAACTGGTGATATAGATCAAAATCGTTCTCAATGGCTGGCTCAGATGCATCCACTCCATGTGACTTATGATTTCCAATAAAACTGTTTTGTTCTTCGTTGTTACTATTCCTTTGTCTCATACCTCTGTTTACTATCTCTAATATGCATTTCTTCAACTTTCTTCTCTTGGTTTGTGTGATACATGGAGGGAATGTGGCGACTCCAACCGCTGCATACATGTGCAAAGTTCTATGTCGAAAACAGACAGACAGAGGCATCGTTCAAGTTCTAGGAAAGGAAAGAGGAGGGGGAATCTATCGACAGTGGGGCTGGGAAGCAGTTACACTGATTGAGATTGATGGTTAGGACATGTGTTGATGACGCATGCATGCCTGTCTGCCATCCTAGCCTTCGCCTTTCTTCCTCGACCGACTACGGTTGGGGTGATGTTAGCCACCAACTGACATGGGATGGATCGATGAGGTCGGAAAGCAGTTAGTTGGTAATATTTAAAATTTTCCCGATGATGTTATTTTTCATTCCACCAATGGTGATATTAATAGAAACAATCAAAATTGTAGCGAAATGAAACAGAAGTGCACGATAAATCATCCTACAGTCGTTTCATGAATACTTTCTGAATTCTTGTTAAGTTTAGGAGTATATTTCTCTTAAGATAAGGTTAGGTTTTCGGTTTCACTATTTATTAAACTTCCCCATTTCATAGTCAGTCCTTACGGTGTAGAAGTCGCCTTAACTGCATTCTCACAGCTAATTACCTGCCTATCATAACCTATTGCTGGTATTCCTACTGTATTCAGAACAATTCTGATTAAATATCTCATTTGAATATTAAGGGATAGAATATTGATAATTCATATATCACTATACCTATGAGCCACCTCTGTCCACCACCGTGGCGACGTTAGCCTGGCTGTCAAAGTTCGGGTTTACAATGCTTCAATGTGTCCTGTTTCGCTCTACGCCTGCCAAACCTGGCACCTCCGAGCTGAGAATCTATGGTGACTCTGCATATTCGATCACGGCTGCCTCCGTAGGTATGCTTGTGCTAGATAGAATTATCATCGCGTGAGTGATTTTTTTCTTCACTTTCCGCAGTGGAACATAGGGCTTCAAGCTAGTGGCTTGAAGTTTCTGTAGCAGTGTTTATTTTACAGGATGGAGTTGCTAGCCTCATGCCAACCTTTCCTCCTTACCAGCATTATTTCTGGCTCAGTGAGGTAAAAGAGTGAATCATCTGTGGATCGACCCCGGACCATATGCATGATCGGCTAGCGTCCTAATCGCTATACCACTGAAGTACTCATTGCGTGAGTAATCCAAAGATTTTGGCGGCATGTGTTTAGACGCAGCGTAGATGACAATTCGTTGAGTGACGTCGTCATCTGGGGACACTGGATTCAGTGACTTGGGTATTCGCTACGAATGTCATCGAAGAGGCTTTCGTATCGGCCTCTGTTCACTAGCCGGCCATGGGACTGGATGGAAAAATCGGAGAGGTGATCAGCGGGTGACGTGGCCTCATAGGATGAACGATATTTGTGTTAGATAAGCAATCATTGGTGCGTCACGACTCCATGGTTGAAGTCCGAGAGACATTGACTCAAATTGGTGAGTACGAACCAGGCTTCTAGAAATTAATTCGCTGAATGCAGTCCTGGTGTTACCTCTTCGGTGAGAATTTCCACAGTATCTCAATCATCAAATTTATATGCAGATGCACCTATACGAGAGAATGTAAATATATTATATCCTTTTACAGCCAATTTGTGATGATCTTGGATTCTGATTCGAAGGGAATGCTCACTATGACCGATATAGTTTGCATTGCAGTTCATGCATGCAATTTATTTTGTAAATGGTATTGATTTTATCTTCTTTCTCTGTTGGATTAGGTCCCTTCTGGTTTCCACGATATCTAGTGGATTGATTGTGCTCCTACGAAACAGGAGGGAATAACACTCGTATCAGTTCAGAATCATTTAGATTTAGGAATGTGTATTTCCTCTCATCACCATTTCTGGTCTTTCCACATCATGTTAGTTAGTTAGTTAGTTTCCACAAGGATATTTCGTTCCACGTTCTATGTAAGGAAGTTAAGATGAGCTGGTGTCATTCCGTCTCTACTGTTACACTTTGTCAATTCTCGTATTCTGCCCACACTTGTTTACTGCTCCTCACCCCACCTTAATCTTTCTTGTGTTACTTGAGAAAGACTTTGTTTGTTACACTGTGAAGGGCACTACGAGCCGTGAGTGTGGAGAGTGAGTGGGGTGGATGTTGCTATTCCAACTGGTTAATGCTATTGTAGATAGACAAATGGATTGGTGCGAGAAATGAGAAAATATTAGCAAACTCTTGTCAGACTGTGAACATGCTCTCTATACACACTCACACACACGCTCAACTCTCTCCTTGCATCTATCTCATCTGATGATAGGTGAACTTGAAACGACTATGGAGAACTTTATTCTCAGACGACTAAGTAACAAAGCTCTACAATAGCTTATTTCGTCGTGACACATTTTATGTGATGAGTATTTTGTAAGACAGGAAATTACCAACTCACGGAGGAACTCTAAGTAAACGGCCCCAGTCTGTTTTGTTTTCATAGCTGCATTGTTCTCAGTATTTTCACATGATTTAATTTTAAGTTCACTTTCTTATTAAACAATATGATAAATGTAAATTATTATTGATGAAAATGCACTAGGTTAATTATTGCCCATGTAATGAGAAAATTATGTGCAATACTGTACTACTGCATGCTGAAAGTTCCATATTTGTACGAAGAGTACTGTTTGGATTGAAGCAGTTATTATTAATTGCTATCAACCAGCTGAAACGCGATGTATGCTTTTAGAAGGAAGCGCTTTTCATCAGTCCTTCCTCACCCTGGTATCTGGACAACTGCATTCTATCTCTTTGATTTTTCATTTATTCTCTGTCTTGAAGCCCACTGCCCCCTCCGCTTTGATTTAGTTTACGTTCTCCTGGTTTATTTATTGCTATATTTTGAGTTGAGCTCAACACATTGTTACACAATTAATGAGTTACTCATCAACTTATTCACCGTATGTATTTATTTCCCAGCTATTTTTCTCTTATATTCCAATATTTGATATTTTGTTTCGTTCAAACTTGATCCTTCCGTGAACATATTATCTAGGCGTAATTCCAGACTACTGTTTATCATTTTTGGAGTCACTCGGTAAGCTGACAACATGTCACCTTTGCAAATACGTCAATATTGTTCAGTACATTGAATTAAGTAACTTTTTTTGAGCGCACTCAACTAATGAGAACCCTACGAAATAAAAGATAGCATGTTCTTATTCTACACACATTGTTGTCTGTATTTTATTCAGGCTTCATATCACCTTGTTCATAATTT